CTCAGAATTCTGACTTTTTTTATTGTCAGATTCTGACTTTTTTTATTGTCAGAATTCTGAGATTAAAGTCAGAATTCTGAGATTAAAGTCAGAATTCTGACTTTTTTCCCCATGTTAAACTGAAATAAAATTTAAAATCAGTTAACTTTTTTTTTTTCAGTGGCCCTAATCCTCTTCCGTAGTGGACGATTACTTCCATGATAATAAAAAAAAAGAAAATAAAAACCCTCCAGCTTATTGGTTTGTAGCAGTGATGCTGGGATACGCTGGAACCAGGCTGTCCGCTTCCAGAGAAACCACATTCACCTGGATCACCTGAGTCTGAACCCAAAACCCGTCATCAGAGCACATAGATATCTAATCTCATCGACTGATAGCCTCTCAGCTTAAATTAGCATAGGTCAATGGATTAATTTGTAAACAAACCCAACATTTATTGGAAGGAGGGAAAACGTATTTGGACAAACGTGGCTACTACACTTTGTCAATTTCACTCACACCACTGCCATGCTTCTGTGTTTTCATCTGAGAAGAAGAAGAAGAATCCTTCTTTGCGCACTGAGTGATTTGCCCACGACCACCTTACGACGGCTGACTGAATTTCAAACCTGTGGTGGTCGTGAGAGGCTGGTCGCCCCTTCGTTACCCGCTGCACACCACAGGATCAGACTGAAAGTAGCCCGATTGAACAATTCTAGCACGATTAGAGAATAGGTCTGAAAAGGGCAAAAAGTTGTACAGAGCACGCCCGGCTGAACTGAGCGTCAGAAATAGTTTCTAACATCTTATGAGCTCAGAGAGTCGGACAAACAGCGGCGTTAAAGAACATCCTCCTAGAAAGGAAGCAGCTTGAACTGTATGCAGTTCCAAAGACGACCAGCGACTGGTTCTCCTCATTTAAAGGAAACAGAGACGAAATGAATCCGGTAAAGTAGAAAAAGCTTGAGCTGGACTGAGACTAAAAACAAAGCATGAAGCAGAGCTGCATGATGCCGGACAAATCCCACATCGGTAAAGTTAGTTGGCAACAATAATTGAATACTTCCTAATGTTTATGCTTCTCTTTCCCCTTCTGTCATCAGAAGGCCTCCTGGACGCGGCCATCCGGATCCGGCAGCCTCCATCCAGCACCCAGACTTCCCCATTGGCCCCCAGGAGCCATTTTCTGACCCCAGAAAAACAACCAATACTGCCCAGAAGGCAGCTTTATGGAAAATTAACACAGAGACCACTCTTTGCCATCAACAGCATCGAATTTGATTAATTCATTTTATTATTTGCTGCAAAAGCTGAAACCTCTGCTACCAGAGTGGAGACTAGAATAACCAGACCTGCTTTACTGGTAAAACTCATCCAGACTGGAAGCAATCAGCTGGTTTTCCTTAGATAGAAACCTTTGACTAAATCAGACTGGATGATCCAAATAAACAGACATGTTGTGAATTAGTGCTACACAGCAAAACATGTCAAAGTCAGTCCATTTTCTTAAACCAAGTGCATTTTTTCTTGAATTGGGGAGATAAGTGAGACACTTTGCCATTTAAACAAGACAATTTACATTTCAAATAAGAGAAAACAACTGCAGTCTCTAATTACAACCACGTATAATTTAAATGATCTTATTTTAAAGGTAAAAATGGTAATTCCATTTGCAAATAATCTTTTCCAACTCAAATTAAGGGTAAATGGTCTTAATTTATGAAATTCTTACTCATTATCAGAACGTTTTTTTTTTGCAGAGTATAGAAATAAACCGAATCCTGATTTGTTTGTTTTTTGGGTGAAAACATTGAACGCCTCTAGAGCTGCAGCTTCTGGTGCTTCTTTGCGCATGAAATGGTTTATAAAACCTCTAAAAATCACTTTGGAACGTAAAACAATAAAAACTCTCCTAACTGACTCCATTAATAAGTTAGCTGAGTAACTAAGGGAAATCTGTGATCTAAAAGCAGTTCCCATCCAAAAAGATGACTATCGAGTTTATGATGAAGACCAGCTAACAGTTCAGAAAGTTACATTTTTTCATTTTCCTTTTCAAATTCAGATATTATAATGCAAGTTAAAGGGGAACACAGTTTTTGTTTTTTGTTGGCCCTTGACTACAGTCCGGCGCATGCGGATGATGTCATACACACTCCACTTTGTTTTAAAAAAATATAAATATCAAAAAATATAACCG